CGGTGAAATTGCGGGAAGTTAGGAAATATACGGAAAGTTGCGAAATATGCGGAAAGTTGCGAAATATGCTAAATATGCGGGGGAAAAGAATAACAATTTTTTTAATATTGGGCTGTCTTATTTATTCTCTCTCACACACAACCTGCCACTAACGTTAAACCCCTTTACTATTCAATTAAACACATTCAATGTTTATTTATTGTAAAAGCAATTGGGCTATTTTAATCTCACACACACTTCACTCCCCCCCCCCCCCGCCACACACACTTCTCCGCCTCATTCTGTTTTCATTTACTCGTTCGTTATCTGACCAGCTTCAATCTTGTAGGCTACTCACTTCGTTTCTTGTAGCCCTCAAAAGCGTTTTGGAGGTTGATGCCTCGGTGAACGTGAGTTGTTTGGCTTTCTTGTCCGCAGCAGCAGAAAGCATTTTCGTAATGTTTGAATGAATCAAAGTGGGTCATCACCGTCGATTTTCTCTTAAGCTCCAACACACAGTTGCACGGGGTGCAGAATAGTTTCCCCCCACTTTTGTGAAAGACATCGGGGTACTGCTTTGCCCGGTCTTTAACAGAAGTGTTCGTCGGTAAATGAGATGGATCAGATTTTTTCATCTTGGTGTTTTCTCTCGTGTGAGTTCCACACGTTCACTCTACGGTGTTGTTTACCTTCTGTGATGCGCGAGCTGATGACGTTGCGTCATCATCATCACTACTTCACGTCAAGACGAGTTCACTTTTTTTCCCTCTCAACTTTGTGTGGAAAAATGCGGGGATTATGCGGCCGTTTGATAAATATGCGGCCTTTTAAAAATCTGCGCCATTTTGATGATTATGCGGTAAATTCTGCGATCGCAGAACCAGTTGAGAACCACTGCCTTAGAGTACTAGTTACTGCCAAAAATAACGGCGTTACAGTAACGCGTTACTTTGCAACGCGTTAGTCCCAACACTGTCTGTCACACATACACAAAATAAAAACGTTTGTCCTGTTTACTTTCACTGTATGCGAGCTTACTTTGGCAGTGAAGCAAATTAGCATCCTTGAAGTTCAACTTTAGTACACTTTCATGTGAATATTGCCGTTATGGCGACAATAGTTGCACATTATACTTGGATTAATTAAATATATCTGCAGTTTAATTATATATTATATGATTTTATACTGCCCATTTTCATATGATTTTGGAAAACTGAAAAAAATATTTACTTCCGAGCTATATAATGATGGTAGCCATATGTCAATGGTTGTATTTTAATTCGGAAAATCAGAAGTCATTCTGTTGTACATTGAACCAAATGTCTTTAAAAAGCTATTTTATTATTTTATTGTCCAATTTGTTTGCAGGATGAAATTGCTTCAGAAGAAGACCTTGGCGAGATGGAAAAAGCAGCAAGTGTTTCTAAAACCAGAAAATCAGGCAAAAGAACAGCCAAGTAAGACCCTCTTGTCATGTCGAAAAATACCTTTTTGAACCCTTAGACATAGGATAGAAATGTCTTGCGAACAAACGTTTGACGAATGCTAGTCACAGTATTTGTCTCTTTGTCTTCAGATCCAAAGCCGTGTTGGAGCCTCCTCCCATAGCAGAGGTGGAACTGCTCTCTCCTCTGCCCAGCCCCGCTGATCCCCTCCCCCGAGCACAGAAGAGGACGAAGAAGGGAGAGACCCCAGCCCCCGGCAGGAACCTTCGACGCAAACGAATAATGGAAACCGTTTTCTCAAAACCTGTAACACGGAGGAAGAAACTTTAAGGAGGTCGGTGGTGGTTTTAACCGGGGAACCTCAGACAGCCGCGAGAAGACCTGAACCAACTCCGTCAAGAGCTGTCAAATACAAGTGTATGCCTAAACTCATTATGGTTCTATTTCCTCGAATGCCTCAGAGTGCTGTGGTTGTCTTTGTATATTTACTTCCCTGTAGGACAAGTGAATAAAAAAAAAAGAAGCAATTTAGGCATGAAAATATATTTTTGGGAGAAAACACACTGGACAGCAGTGTGAGAGAGGCATATATTTTTGGAGTTTACATATCCCGTTCATCCCGGACTGGATTTCACTTGATATTGCATCTGTGGGACATTTTAAGACGCTCCTCGTAATCCGCCTAAATCTCTGGACACAAAAAGACACAAAGGAAATAAATCAAGGTGGGCTTTTAGAAGCGCCCAGTAATAAAACCGGAGGGACTGAAGTGAGCCTTGCTCTAAGAAATTGGTTTTATTCACTCTTTTAACTTTTTTGTTTATTTTTTTGTTTTTGTTCTCATCGTTTACTTTTTAGATCTTGAGGCCTGCTACCTTTTTCTATTTAAGAAGAAAAGCAACCAACCCAGTGGAGACAAATGATTTTTACTGATAAATGTGTATATAGTCTTTTGCTATGTTCCAAATAAAGTTCATAAATAAATCGTAAAAAATGTCTTTCATTTTGAGGTTTTAAGTGTCATGAATGCGTTTGATCATCTAATCAGCCTGCCTATGCCATAGTCTTAAAATGTGTGTCAATTTGAGGGATTACCTGTGAAAGACTTGTGAACTAATGCCATCAGATTGGAGTGTTTCTGTGTGTAATAGGGATGATGTAAAGTGTGAAATCAACAAAAAGACTTACACAGCTGTTTAGAGTTTTAAAAATGTAAAATAGATGTTTTGCGACATGTTCTTAGACTTGTTAAACTAAATTTATGGCAACCAACATCTGAGAAATAGGCTATTTTCTGATGAATGTATGTAGAATGTCTTATTTTTGATGACTGCTCTTTGATAAATATGGCTACGCTTGAATACTTCAAATCCTGTCTCAATTCAATTTATTGTCTTCAAGAGCGTGTGTTTTCCTGTCAGTCTGTGGTGTGCAGTGAACGCCTGGAAGGAGCTACCAGGGTCTTATTGTCCTCCACAATAGCTGGGACCCTATCCTGTGCCTCAGATAATATCGGATGTCCATCAAACTCAATCAACCCTTCAAATGCCAGCTTAGGTTATATTTAATGTCAGAAATGTCGCTGCTAGGGTGAAAAGTAATTTCAGAGAGTCATAAAATGTTGACATTAATGTAGCTGTAACATGTGAATCCACCCTGGAGGAATTACACTATTTCCCAGAGCTCTGTCTCTTTTATAATTTATGGGTGTAGAGGAGGGGAAAGTGAAACCGGCCCCATCTCCATGGCAACGCTTCAATAATAAAACGGCAGGGCAGGGAGAAATAATATAACAAACTAAAAGCATAGATTGCTTCATTTTAAATGTTGGTTATTATTATTTGTTGTAGTCAATCAAGTTAACTGGTTAATTTTAAGCCTGTAGCAGTATCTGCTAAATACTTTCTGTTTTAGTCTAGTGTCCAGTGTTTTTTTATAAGAAAAAGAAAACATTTTGAGGGAAAAGTCATAGGAAGATCACAATGTGCAACAATATCTTGCATTACTGCAGATTTTTATTCCATAATGTATTCCTTCTATTGCGCCGTAAATACTGTTATATTTTACTATATTTTTAATTATTTTAAATATTTTTCTAGTTCTCTACCTGTGTTTTTAATTCTTCTTTGTAGGCACCACGACACCTAGTCAAATTCCTCGTACGTGTAAACCTACCTGGTAATAAACCTGTTTCTGATTCTGACTACGGGTTTAGGCATCATAAGTCTTACACAGTATAGACAATGTGTAAACTTTCAATGTTTTCTTCTTGATGCTTTCCGTAAATTGTCTTAATGCATTAGCTAAACAGACTAATGTGGACGCCGCTGTCCCTGTCACACTGACCTGATTGTGTCCATGTTGACGTGTAACTGGATACAGTCCCAGTGTGAGGAGCCGATCACTCTGCTGCTGCACCATGAGGGCTAAAGCTGCAGGCATGCACAGCAAGGACTGTGTCAAAGTTGCCGTCAGAGTCCGGCCCTTCAACAAGGTCAGTGTGTAGAATATGTACATGTAATATGATTCACTTTTTGAATTTGTATGCAATTTCTCCGTTATTTATTTGCCTGACGATTTTCTAATGTGTATGTTTTGCATGTCACATTAACTGATATTAGCATCAGGTACCCTTCAAGAACGTGCCTGTTTGCTATCGTGGCTCCACAATGATATCAGGATGAAACTCAATACATCTTCTGTCGCGGACTGAAAACCCCCCTGTTTCTACTGCACCTTGACCATTAAACCTAAAACAAACAAAAATAAAGTGACAAAGGAGTTCCTTAAACGTTGATGCTACTAAAAAAAATGCTTATGCACCACCATTCACAATGGTTTAGTTTATTCGAAGAAAATGCAGCTGCAGGTTTATTGATGTTCAGAGTTTGTGTCTTCAGGGTTTATTGCACTTAGTGTGAGTCCCTTAAAAAAAACGCCAGCTTAATGTAATGTATTAATGTTATTGGACTGTTATACAGTACACACTGATGGAACCTTCCAGATCAAAATAAAGACAATGCATTGACACATAAGCTTGTTGTTATAATCAAGAGTTGTATTATTGTTCATATCATGTACATTAAAGTTAGTATTCACAACTGTGTAACGGCAAACAGGTTGATTTGACATCATACAGATGTATTACTTTTCTACAAAAAAGATAGCAACACTGAAGCAGATGTTATTTTGTAGGCCTGTCTGAAAGCAAAGCCCATGTAAAATAATAAAAATACAATCAAATGAAATACAGTGAAATGTGTATAGGAAGAAGTCCCTCTTGCAGTTGATGTGTTAGACAAAATAAACCAAAGCTGTTGCCTATAAAACGCAATTCCATCAAAAGTGCTAAAAAAAGAGTATATTTAAAGAGGCAGGAGAGGGAAACTATTTTTGTGAGCATTAAAGCATGCAAACATGTTCTGGTAAACACCTGAAATATCAAGAAGGAACATGGAAATGAGCAAAATATGTACCCTTTAAGTGGCCTACTTAAGTTTAATTCTAAAGAGGATTTGGACATTGGTACTCTCACTTCTTCCTATTTCCCTTTAAATCTTACCTAAACCCCCCCACAGTCTGGTTTTGTCCTTCTCTCACCCTGCTTCCTCCCCCCCCAGAGAGAGAGGGATGCAGGGAGCCGATGTATTGTCTCCATGGTGACGAGCTCCATTACCATCCAGGACCCTCGTGAGTCCCAGAGCCGCCGCTCGTTCTGTTTCGACTACGCCTACTGGTCCCACAGCGGCTTCACGCGGGACCGCGGGGGCCTCTACGTCCCCGAGGAGCCGGGGGGGCGATACTCCGACCAGGTCAGCGGCTCCTGGTAGAACAGGCAGAGAGCTGGAAGTAAACATTGTACAACAAGCAGAATGCAGATATCTAGATTTTACAAAAATACTGTAATGTAAGATCATTATTTTGTAAAGCTTCCATATCATGTGACCCATAGATTCCCAATCCATGGCAGATATTATTACTATATTATACAAATAAGACTCACCTCTTTTTGGGGATTTTAATCCAGCTTCTATTTGATACAAGTAGTCTTATTCAAATGTAATAGCTTCTATGTGTCCCAATATTTCCCAATCAATGCTGCATTTCATTACTACACCGGATGTGTAGGACACACCTCTTTTATTTAGATTGTATTGAAAAATGTCAGTCCTTTCATTAGCTTCCATGCCATTTGACCCATTGATCCACAAATCACACTGGAACTTTTACTGCACATGACAAATAGGACATATCTTGATTAATCAGATTTTCGTCCACTTTCTATTTTATAGGAATATTTTAATGAAAATTAAGCAGTTTCTTAATTGAAAAGTCTTATATTTTTCAATAGCGCCCATGTCTTGTGACTCCAAATCAAAGCAGCATTGTAGAACTAAACTGGACAAGAACGATTTGTATCCAATTCTGAGTTACAAGCTGTTCAAATATCATCCATCCACAGGACAGTGTGTTCCAGGACCTGGGAGAGGGCATACTGGAGAATGCACTGCAGGTAATAATCATTACATTATAACAGGAGTTTTGTTCTCATTCAACGTTTATTTGCACCAAAGCAGGTCTGTGCCAGTTGGCTAAAACAAATACCCAGGTTCTACCGTCTGTCCTTTTTAGTCCTGTTCTGATGTTGTTAAATGCTGTCTGCAGGGTTACAATGCCACTCTGTTGGCCTACGGGCAGACCGGCTCAGGGAAGAGTTACTCCATGGTGGGCTACGGGCCCAACAAAGGCCTGGTTCCTAAACTCTGTGACCGGCTGTTTCAGGCCATCAGGGAGAACCAGGACACCAGACAGTGCCAGGTAAAGAGTTTATGTCTGTTTCCCAGAGATGGCAAAAGTGCACACATCCTTTACTCAAGTAGAAGTACAGATACTTGTGCTTAAAAATACTAGGGTAAAAGTAGAAGTACTGACTAAACTTCTTTACTCAAGTAAAAGTAAAGAAGTATTGCCTTCAAAATCTAACTTAAGTAAAAAGTCCCATAACTATTAACAGTTTTAAAGAGTAACTGACCTCACTCTATATAAATAGAACAATAATGTCATTGTTAGCTAATGAATGTTTCCATGCTGAACAACGGCAACATGATAACGTTTTCATTGGTCAAGAGGGACCAATGAAAACACTATCATTTGCCATTGTTAGAATGTTTAGAGAAGACCAGGAAATGATGGATACACGGATCGTGTTAAAATCAACAGGCACGCAATGACTCTAAATAATAATGATCACGCCACCAAACACAGATTAAAACTAAAGTAACAAACCTATTTAGAAAATGTAAGAAGTAGAAAGTACAGGTATTTGTGTTCAAAATGTAAGAAGTAAAAGTAAAAAGTCGTCAGAAAAATAAGTAGTGGAGTAAAGTACTGATACCAGAAAAATGTACTTAAGTACAGTAACGAAGTATTTGTACTCCACTACTTCCCACCTCTGCTGTTTCCCAGCGCAGTGTCATGTATGGTTCATTTTCAAAGTGTATTTTTGTATGTCTATACAGGTCTTTTTCAGCATGTTGGAGATCTATAATGAGCAGGTAACAGAAGGGAAAGCAGCCACTGTCATTTTTCTTCTTCTGATTCGCTGTCGTGTTTCTACTCAACTTTCTCTGGATATAACATTCATTCAAAGGTCAATGTGTTGGTAGATGACCAGCGTCCTCTCCTTCATTAATCTCTGATTCGACCATTCTGTCCAGGTGGTTGACCTGCTGTCTCGGGGGTCTCGTACTCCGGGGGGGCTCAGAGTCAGAGAGGAGCAGCAGAGAGGTTTCTATGTGGAGGGTCTCCGGACCGTCCCCTGTGACAGCGCACCGCAGGTAGAGGGAGGAAGATTAAACACCTCTACATTCAGTAACAAACTCTGTGAGACAGGGAAGGGGAACTGAAAAGATACACTGTCCATGTTTTAAAGTTTACTCAATGAGCTGAGTCCAGAGTGTCCTGTCAGTTTTGTGTCCTGGTCAAAATCTATCCAGGGTTCATAGGGATGCTGGAAATAATTTAAAAAAAACTAGAGTTTTATTGTGGTGTTTTCAAGGTTTGAGTGGTGATTGAAATTGTAATTGTCACTTGTTTAGAATTATGTTGTGGTTAATGATTTAATGGAACAAAGAAGTGAAATTATGAGTAAATACATAAACTGTATGTATAGTATATATCATTTAAAGGTAGGTAAAGGGCTGGAAGATAAATGAACCTTGAACATGCTAAAAAGTGTTTGGATTTTACTTTGAAACCCTGATTATCATGTGAAAGCTGTAAGGACTATTTAAGGATATTTTGGAAGTCCTAGTGTGTGCTTGGTTAGTATTTTGTGTTTGGGTTAATGTGTATTCATCTT